GTCATCATCATTAGAACTATAGTTTTTTTAATCATTCGAAATCTTTTTTTTTCATAATACTCGAACAACAAAACACCATTATTAACAATAACAACATAAACAACAGCAACTCAATAAAAACATCAACAACAACTATCAACAACAACAAACAACTCAATAAAAACATCAACAACATCAACAACTACTACCAACAACAACAAACAACTCAATAAAAACATCAACAACATCAACAACTACTACCAACAACAACAAACAACTCAATAAAAACATCAACAACATCAACAACATCAACAACAACAACTCAATAAAAACATTAACAACATCAGCAAAAAAAACAACAATAACTACCCAATAAAAACATCATCAACAACAACAAAATCAACAGCTCCCAAATAAAAACATCATCAACGACAACTACAACATAAACAACAACAACAACCCGATAAAAACATCAACAACCTTTCTAACCAACAATAGCAACGACAAATCCATCTATTGTCATCTGTTATAAGAATTGTTTAACATGATTAAATTTGCTTCTATTGTTATTATTTGTTATTATTCTTCTTATTGTTGTTATTGATTATTTTTTTTATTATTATTTGTAAAGACTGATCATTAAGTTGGTTCGTGGAATTACATATATTACATCTGGTTGAGTGTTTCACAGAAAGTATAAGTCGAATTAAGACAAATATTCACTGTGATTATGATGATGACGATGACGATGGTGATGTTATTGATGATAATGATGAAGAAAGAGGTGACGATGATGATGATGGAGATGATGACGATGATGATGATGTGGTTGATGATGATTATTATGGTGATAATGATGGTAATGATACAATAAGTTGAATATAAATTGCATTTGTCGTTGAAAAAACGTTTTGTAATAAAGAAAAGCTCTACAGCGTAGCTAGCAAGTGGCCAGTTTGTGGTCAAACAAATAAAACATTCTCTCCAGAAATAAATTTGGTTGATGGGGTCTCTAGAACCAGATGGAAATGTTGTTTAATGCGTCCGCTGAAGTTCAACAACAGCCACACTAGAAAATATAAATATTTCAGAATCGGTAGAGTCTTTTTAATTTTGTACAACAATAATACAATTATTATAATAATTATAATAACATTAATAATAATAATTATTACTTTTATTGAAATACTATGAAACCAAATCAAATTTAATTCAATTATGACATATTTATAAATAATCACGAAAAAAAATAACATCATCTCTGGTCCGTGATACTCTCATTAAATCGGAACTGTATGAAAAAGACGTATATTGATAACGTCATCATTGTTACCATTGATCAGTTTTGGGGAAAAAAACCAATTGAAACGTGCCAAAAATTTGTTTTTGATGTATCAACTTTTCATGACAAAATGAATTTAAAAATGTCTACAAATATTTCTATTACATACAAATCGTATACTCACCTTCTGATGTTATTAATCCACTTTGTTCGTTATATCCGTATTCAAAACAAATATTATCGGTTATAACGAAGATGCATGACGTTTATAAGTTCTTCTAAAATCTGTTTTATTGAAGAGTTTTTTTATTTATTATTATCTCAACACAAGTAGTAGTAGTAGTAGTAGTAGTAGTAGTAGTAGTAGTAGTAGTAGTAGTAGTAGTAGTAGTAGTGGTAGTATTCGTTTCCGCAGTACTAAGAGTGGTAGTAGTAATAGTGGGAATTTATGGAGTAGTAATAGTAAAAGTAGTAGAAATAGTAGTAGTAGCAGCAGCAGCTATAGTAGTAGTAGTAGCAGTAGTAGTAGTAGTAGTGGCAATAGTAGTAGTAAATAGTAGCAGTAATCTGTAATACTAAATATAAATTTTTTTACAGAAAGAAGAAAGAATCCAAATGATTTGTGCTCTTCTGATACTGTCAAATTGAATCGTATATCGTTGGTTGTAAGGAGAAATGTTTTTAACAATAATAAAATTATCATAAAAATACCAATAAATAATATTTCATTAATTAATTTTTCATTAATATTTTATTAATTATCTTTTATTGAAACTTTGATTATATAAGGAAAAAAATTTTTCTTTTTCTAAAAAGTTATCTTTCTAAACTAGTTAAGCTTCATCTTTGTTTTTTGATAAACAAATCAATTGAAAACTAGTTCTAATTAATTACTATTAATTAATTAACTATAATTCCATTGCTTCCATCATTAATTTTACAAATGTATTATTAGTAACACTAAATCAACAGCAACAATAACTATTAGTCTAATAAACGAACTAACACAAAATCAAACAGAGAGAAAACACTGTCGCTAAAAAATGCTAAAAATAAATTTACGTAAGAATTTTTTTCAAAAGACAAGTAATTTTTGCTATGAAGAAATTCCATACAAGTTTTACAACTTTTTTATTTATTATTGTTCTTTTTATTTTATGTTTTTTTTATATTTTTTTTTGTTTGAAATTGCCACGTTCATCTATTTTTAGAACTGTTTATAAGCAAATATACATACTCGTATATACGCACGTGTATATATATATATATATATATATATATATATATTTATATTTATGTATATATATAATTAATTATCTTCTATTAAAAGTTTGATTTTATTAGGAAGAAAATTTTTATTTTTTCTGAAAAGTTATCTTTCTAACATAGTTAGGCTTCTTTGTTTTTTGAAAAACAAATCAAATGAAAATCATTTCCAATTAATTACTTTATATATATATATATATATTTAAATATTTATATATTTATATATATATGTTGGTAATTGACCATAATTTTTACAACATTCTAAAAATTCTACCGAATGTACTTCGGGTAAATGTTGGTAATAGACCATAATTTTTACAATAGAACTGTTTATAAGCAAATTCGGTATGCCATCGGCATTCGGTAGAATTTATAGAATATTGTAAAAATTATGGTCTATTACCAACATTTACCTGAAGTACATTTGGTAGAATTTATAGAATATTGTAAAAGTATATATATATATAAATATAGGTATTTACGTAGTATATAGAAGTAAGTTTATATATCTTTGCACTATCTTTTCATAACAACCAACTTCCATTTAACACGCACTCAACAATTTTAAAATAGTGCACTCTTCCTCTAAAACATTATTTATTAATCTTTTCAAAATTCTTCGTTGGCATATTAAAAACATTCAATCGTGTATTCTTCCCTTTCCTCTAATTCTCATTCAGCCACGTCAGTTAGCGCTGATGACTGGATGGTTGCTTCTGGTGAAATAAGAGTGTGCCTGCAATGAATGCCTGTGCGTGCGTATTGGATTGCATCTTATTATATACATGTAAACATACGTCTATGTTTATGCGTGTAATTATTTCTGTATATATATATATATATATATATATGTGTGTGTGTGTGTGTGTGTGTGAGTGTGGGCGTCGAGATATGACCGTTTGTATGTGTATGTATGTATGTTTGAGAGTGTGTATGTATGTATGTATGTATGTATGTATGTATGTATGTATGTATGTATGTATGTATGTATGTATGTATGTTTGTTTGTGAGTGTGTATGTATGTATGTTTGAGAGTGTGTATGTATGTATGTATGTATGTCAAGTAACAAGTAACAAGCGGGTTAACACTTTGGTCTTTTGTTAGTTGCACACGTTGGCATTCAGTTGAACATTCTCCCTCACTCAGACACGCAGGAACCGCTGCAACAAACTCGAAATGTGACTCGTTGCAAAAACTGCTCTCTGCTGTCACCTGATCTACCACTAATAAACTTACAAATTGTTTTAAGGAATTTAAAAGTGTAAGGCTCCATTGAGCCAAGAACCTCGATGCCTATCGGCAAAAATTCAATCGGGGAGAGGGCGTCCTCTTATTTTTTTTTTCATATTCTCGTCCGCTGCCCTGGCTGCGGCCAAACCACATTCCTTACTTGTGAGATTGTTTTTGAATGTGTGTCCGTGTGTATATCTGTGTATTTTTGTATTCGTGTGCGTGCGTGTGTGTGTGTGTTTGGGTCAGTCAGTATGTGAGTAAGGATAAGAATAAAGTAGTTACAGATGAAACTGCTGTGTTGTGTGGATGAATTTAGATGAAATGTTGCATGGATTTTTTAGTTTCATTGACCCTTGTCTGGAATTGATGAGTTATTGTGGAGTGCAGATGTTAAAAATCATTACCTCACGCGTTGCATTTTTGTTTACATCCCTTCTTGACATTCATATTTTGTTGCGGTTAGGCTGGGGTGTTTCATACGAAGCGATCATGTTAAGATATGTAGATTCAGACAATTTTTTGGTCTGATGAGTTGGTTAATGTGGATGGTTTTGTTGTAAATGTCATGAATATGAATTCTTTATTTCGCATATACTTTTTAGAAAATTCAAAAATCAAAATTGCTTTATCGATTGCTAAAATGTAACAAAATTTTACGCTTTTTTGTAGTCTTATTAAAAATTAATAACTATATAGATGGCAGCTTATTTCATGGAAATACGAGTTTTGTTCAAAGTAATTGTTCTGTTAACACTTTTTTCTGACAGAACATTTCAAATCACTCCTTTCTTTGACATATTCATCAATTCCTATGCTAGCATTTGAAAAAGGAGAGGTGCTTACGGTGTACACGATGTATTTGTGTGTTTCCTGACATCTGTTGAATTTAAAGGGGATGGTATTTTCATCTATATCTTAGTAAAAGCCGGTTCATGTGCTGGAGTGCATGTGTTGGAGTTCATGTGTTGGAGTGCATGTGTTGGAGTGTTGGAGTGAATGTGTTGGAGTGTTGGAGTACATGTGTTGGAGTGTTGGAGTGCATGTGTTGAAGTGCATGTGTTGGAGTGTCGGAGTGCACATGTTAAAACGTGTGTTGGAGTGTTAGAGTGCACGTGTTGAAGTGCACGTGTTGAAGTGCATGTGTTTTAGTGTTGTAGTGCATGTGTTTTGAAGTGCATGTGTTGGAGTGTTGGAGTGCATGTGTTGGAGTGTTGGAGTGCATGTGTTGGAGTGTTGGAGTGCATGTGTTGGAGTGTTGGAGTGCATGTGTTGGAGTGTTGGAGTGCATGTGTGCCAAACAAAAAAATACCTCGTTGATAGAGTTGCACCATATAATTTTCAGTGATTATTTAGTTATTAAAAATATTTTAAATTTGTAATTTTTCAAGATAGCTGAAATAAAAATTTAATTCACATCTATTCTCACTGCCAGAAATCTTATCATATTGCAATTAAATATTTTTTTAACAGAATGGTAGCAAGGGGTGTTGAGCGAGAGATCTGCTTTCAAACCAACCACTCACCCGAGTCAACTCAACCATCTATTACTACAATGATGCCTCAACCGTAAAAACTTTGAAATTAAGTTATTTACGAAATAAATGAGTTAAAATTATCAAAAAATAGTAATAAATTGAACAACAAAACGCTTATAATTATTGGATGAAATTTATTGGATGCCACAACAAAGGAATGTAGGTACGTCTGTTGGTACGCTGCGCATATTTCATTTCAATATTTTTTATTCTACGTTTAAATTAAATGAAACATTTTATTTAACCTAAAAAAAACTTTAAACGCGAAATAAAGAATGATAATAATAATAACATAATGACAATTTATATGTGTTTGAGTTCATGTATGTGTATGTATGTGTGTGTATGTGAGTTTGTTCAAAATTGTGAAACAACTAGCATAATTGAGAGATAAAAACTGAGAAAAAAAACAAGAGAGAGAGAGAGAGAAAAAAAGAAAGAGAGGGAGAAAGAGAGAAAAAATCAACAGATTATAAAAGAATAAATTAAAAAAAAAATTTCACCAATCTGACGGTTACAAGTTTTGAAGCAATTGAACATTGAAATATGACGCTGAGAGGATAATTTTAAAGATTTAGAAAGATAGTGAGAACAGTTAGTTACGTTATGAGCAATGATAAGTTTGACTTGTCTAGCTTATATATGAATTCATTCTGTTGAACATTAAAATATTTTAGTTGTATATGAAGCTTCAATCAATATAGCATAAACAAACACATATGCATGAACACATAAATAAATACACACACACATACTGACACACAAATATACACTTGCAACTATGTGCAAATTTCAACCCATCCGTTTATTATTCATTCAATCAAACCAATTCTTAGTAATAAAAAAAATAAACTTGTTAAAATTTTAAAATTTGTTAAAGTTTAACAATACTTTAGGTGTTTCAAGGATGAATCTTTTCTATCATAGTTGCAGCACTATTGTTTGAAATATTTGCACTCCTCCAAGCTTAGTTCCTTTAAAATAACCATCCCAAAATATTAACAAACAAAACGCTTCATCCAATAATATCCTTCCTCATACTGCTAACTAAATTTAATCAGACAGAACTCAGCGCAGTACAGCTACGTTACTAAACAAAATTAAAAAGTAAAAATTCGTACGTAAAAAACTTCCCGCCTAACAAACAGAGAAGATAGCTGGCAAGAATGTGATTGGTCGACCTCTAGCAGACGTAGAGACATCTCTCAAGAGAGCGTCCTAACTTTCAAACGCACGGAACCGACAAAATGGCTGAGTCGGATGAGTAAAAAAAATTAATGCTAATTTTTTGGAATCACGTCACAACAAACACAGTCCTTTATATGAATGTTTAGGTATAGATACTAGGGTGGATCATATTAAAAAAAGAATTATTTTAACTGATGTGAATAGCGATAATATGTTGCTCTAGCATCTTTAAATGAATTTGGTATAAAAATAATAAATTTAAAATTCAACCACACCTATATATTATTCATTAAGCATAGTATTAACATTACTGTAATTGGTACACAATTACTATTAACATTGCAACGTTCTGACCTCTGACGGCAGGTGAGATGAGGAATGTTGTTTTAATCAAATTTATTTTTTTCTTTCTAATATTGAAGCAACTTTTTATGCCCCTTCCTTCAAGAAAAAATTTTGCGATCCTTAATATATACAAATATATATTTATCTCTTTCACACACACGACACACACGCACGCACACAAACACACACACGACACACACACACACTCACGTACACACACATATATAACAATATTTCGACACATAGTTAATATTTTTAGATATAAATAGACATAGCTGAACATAAAAATTTGGCATCGAAACGAAGAGAGTGCCAGAGTTCATGAAATTATTCTTCATTGTATAAACAGTTTATTATTATAAGATTGATTGAAATTAACTAATAAAATACAAAATCAAAAAATAGCAAACAAATAATTAATTTATTTATTCATTTATGTGTATTATGTAGATTTTTAAATGAGGTTTCAAGACATTAGCAGGTGCAAGCAACGATAGCACACGTACAGCGTTTTTAATTTGGGATTAGATAGCCGTTAATACGCAGTTATTCATTATCTCTCGAAATTATTAGAATGTGGACCAATTACTCAAAATCATTTTACAAATTATAATTGAAAATAATTTCATCAAAATATATTTCAGAATGCATTCTCTGGAGTGCGTAAAATCGTCCAACAAACACAACACAATAAAATCGATACGTACTAATGTATGACATTACTTAAGGACAACATCACATCGACAATCTAGGTAGTATTAGGACTATATTTTACACGTATAGTATATATTATATTACTCTGTACAGTTACATGTATATGTATAATATGCATATAATAGATATTTTATATATCTATACGCTCTTTCTTTATATTAACATAAAAATCTGTTCCCATGAATGTGGCCATTCAAAAATTAATCTACAGATGTGTGTGTGTGTCTGTGTGTGTGTATGTGTGTGTGTACGTGTAAATGTGTTTCTATTTATCATATACACAAAGGCTTATGCACAAACGGAGACAAACGCACTGCAACTGCAACAAGATCAACAACTGCAAGGAAAACAAAATTCAGTAATCAAATGTCTCAAAATTTGTATTATTTTCAGGTGTCTAGAAAATAAAAATGGCAGAAACAAGATGGCGGCTGTGGTCACGTGGCTCCTTGTCGTTCTGGAAAATGCGAATCGGCTGTTAGGCACTTGAGCTGAGTATGATAGTTTGAGTTTGCTGTTGAGTTTGTTGTTGTTTTTGTTATGGTGAATGTTTTTGTTTTTATTGCTACTCATTCCATTCTTATCAATTTCATCATCATCAGCATCATCGTCTTCATCATCCTCATCATCGTGGTTTGGTTGGTTGTGGCTGTGGTAGGATATGTTTTTCTGCGTTTGTCGTCTGTGTGGCTTCTGCGGTTGTTGTTGTAAATTTTTCTGTTGATTTCTTTGTTGTTGATTGAACAGTCGATGCTGATGAATAGGATGTTGTTTCCTGTGCAACGTGTTGTTGTTGTTGTTGCGTGTCCCAAGTGCTGCAAAAATGAGCACTTATTTGAGATAGTAAAAAATTAGTGTGTGTACGTTAAGTATTTTTTATCAAAACAACAAATTTGTAAAATTTTCAACGTTACTGCTGTCAAATGTTTACAACTTTTCAGGCAAGTTTTTACCATGTCTTCTAAAATCTTATCGCAATATCTTTAGAAAAATAATAAGATAATGTTTTAAATAAAAAAAAGAGGTACACAGATTTCAAGGCGAAATTTTTTTAAAATTATTTTATCACATCGAAAATTTAATTTTGCTCTTGAGATGTCGCACAAGCCGACGCCACTGTCAACTGCACATTTTCACAACGAAACCCACTTACGCCGTTTTATGACGCGATTGTTGTCACCACGGTCGCCACCATCGTCGTCGTCGTCGTTGAAGTTGAAAATGTAGCCGTTGTCTATAAATGTTGGTGCTTTTGTAATCTGCATCCTTCTCTGTTGATGTTGATGCTGGTGTTTTTGCTTGTGCTGTCCTCTACCTCCTCCTTCTCCAACTTTTTTGGCCGGTGGTGGTCTGCTGATATCTGACGACACACGTTGGTAGGTTTTTAATATAAAGTGGTTTGGTTTGGCAGGAGATAAGTTGAGTATTGTAGGTTGGTTTGTCGTTTAGATGAGATTTAAGAAATAAGATTAGTTTGGATTTATGAAAATGTAACGTTTCTGAACAGCTGCACGTGACTTTCAAATATTTTTATAAATTATTTGTCACGGCTAAAAAAAAAACTACAAGTTTATAATACTGATAGTGAGTATAATGATCGTGATAATGTAACTGATGACAACGAAGATGATAGTGATGATGACAAAAAAGATGGTGATGACGATGACGACAATAATGACGAGTAGGGCTTACTATGTACATTGGATTTAACAGTCACTGTAGCCGTTGTGATCTTCATTGTCGTCCCGAAGGGATCATCATCATCATTTTTATTTCTTTTCCCGCCATAACTAGCATCACCTTCATCGTTGTCGTCATCCTCCTCATTGTAATCTTCGTCGTCATCATCGTCGTCGTCGTCTTCGTCGCCATTGTCTTCTTCATCATCGTAGAAGATGTTTGGCAGTCGGTCTGATACTTTAATTTTAATTCTCATGTTGTGCTGCCTGCATGCTCCGTGGTAGACGTTGTTGAGACCGTGATGGTTGCCAGTCGAGGTTGCTGGTTGCAGGTGAGAACGTGATGGTGGTGTTGGTTGTGTGGCTATGGTGGTGTGGCTATGGTGGTGTGGTTATGGTGATTGCTATTATGATAATTTGATGATAATTTAAATTATAGTGATGCTGATAAAAATCAATTATTTAAAATCAATCAATTGATTGATTAAAAAGCAAAATAATTATTTATTAAAGTTATTAAAAAGCAAAATTATCACGTCACCAAGCTGCGTAAAACAACACGAGCTCCATTCAATATTATAACCGGATAGCATTCACTTAATCACTTCAACCGGATAACTTCAAATCAATCAATCAACCAGTCAAACAGCCAGCCAACCATCTAACTGATAAAATAATAGGACTCTCCGGTTTTATATTCGGGAGCGTTCGGGATAGACGGGTAGGACTCAAATAAAATGGTGTACCGTCGTTTGCTGTACGGATGACTGCAATTCAACACGAGTAGTGCCTCGCGTTCGTTGTACATTATGCAGTTTCTGTAGTCGTTTTCTGACACCTGTCGAAAGAGATGGTAATTATCTGAGATCGGCTCGAGAAAGGTTGTGATTTGAGGTGGAAATAATTCTAATGTTGGAGCTGCCGCCTCTATTGAAGCTTGTTGTGTGTTGCGTAGAGTTTGATGGATGGATGGATGGATGGATGGATGGATGGATGGATGGATGGATGGATGGATGGATGGATGGATGGATGGATGGATGGATGGATGGATGGATGGATGGATGGATGGATGGATGGATGGATGGATGGATGGATGGATGGATGGATGGATGGATGGATGGATGGATGGATGGATGGATGGATGGATGGATGGATGGATGGATGGATGGATGGATGGATGGATGGATGGATGGATGGATGGATGGATGGATGGATGGATGGATGGATGGATGGATGGATGGATGGATGGATGGATGGATGGATGGATGGATGGATGGATGGATGGGCACATACACGCACACACACAACAAACAAATTATCACCAAAAAAAAAATGAAATAAAACCCACGCCAGCCTCATCAGCAGCAAGCAAACACATTCGTCAACACAACATCACACGGAGCAACAACAACAGCAACATAAGAAGGGAGACCAAGCAATTTAAGCTAATTGATCATTAAGATGAAAGGATGGCAAGGTGGAATGTGTAACTGCCATGCAACCAACGTATAAGAAATCTTAAATGTGGAACCGTGAGCTGTGCTGTGACGTCGTTTATACATCTACATGCACGCACAAACAAACACATACACATACTACATACACATAGACACACACACATACACACACAAATACACACACGCACAAATACACACATACGCATACAAATATACATACACGTATTTACGCATACATATACAATTAATTCACACATACACATTGTACATACACTAGCAATCCTGTCATCTACAAATAAAATTAAATTTTAATTGCATGAGCAAGTTATTAAATGTTATTATATGCTGGAGGATGGCACGCAAAAACATGCAAAGTTAGGTTTCTGTGAGGATTATGGTTGAAAGGAAGAAGATAAATTAAACATCAAAGTTCATACGTTAAGTAAATTATTGATGGGAGCTGTTTTTTTAATGGTAGATGGATTGGAGTGAAGCATACCTGTAAAAGTGCAGTTCATGTGAGTGAAGGTTTTTAGGAATTGAAATGTTTTTTGTTTTATAATTGATCTAACTTTGAAGTTTAATTATCAATATGGCGTTTGTTATTAATTGAAGTATGAAATAAGAAATCAAATTTGTAAAAATGTCGGCATTTTATGACTTTCTTTAAAGATGATTTTTTTTTACAATTTTCGGAAAGTCTCAACTTTGTGTTTTGTCAGTAAAAAGTAAAATATTTTACGATTGAATCCAATTTTTCAGCCTAACATTTATCATTTTTGTTTAAGAAGCGGATAAGTATGTTTATGGAGTTTATGGTGTTTATAATAAAAAAACGATTGTGCGTGCGACTGCACTAGCTAAATTTATTGAATGCTCAAAAGTACAAAGTACCAAGTCGCATCTTTCTCATTCCCATTGTACTTAATAATGCTACCGCCTGAACAAAGTTTTTGAAATTTATTAAATTTTTCAATTTCATTTAGGAAGCAAATTTTTCTCCTATGAAGATTGATTGCAAATCTTTTTAGTCAGTCGCCAAAAATTTCATATTGGCAAAAATTTCCAAGGCTCGCGTCGCGTAACTTTGGATCTATTACATTTTGGAATCTTTCAAAATAAAATTCGGGCCCGATGAAAAGTCTATTGCCTTATGTCAGAGTACGTTCGTGTATCTAAATAAATGTTTGTGTATTTTTCTGTCTGTGTGTCTGTGTATGTGTGTCTGTGTATGTGTGTGTGAGTGTGGTGTGTGTGTATGTGTGTGACGTGTTTGTGTATTTGCAAATACATCTTTACATTTGCGCGAAAGTTCGAAAATCTTTTTATATGTTGGTATGGATGAGAACTGTTGGGTACATGTGAACGAGGGTATATTTCTATTCTTTATACTTAAAAATAATTGTTTCTGCTTGTGTATATATATATATATATATATATATATATATATATATATGTCTGTTTGTGCATGTCTGTTTGTATATACGTGTGAATGTTTGTTTGTGTGTACGTGTGCATGTTTGTTTATAATTATACCTGTGTTTGAGAGTGCTTATGCATAAGAAATGTTGTTTATGTCGGCTTAATAGAATCCATAAATAGAAAGGTTACTTCTGGAATGTTATGAAAGTCGTCTCTCTTACCCTTTTTCACGCTATTTTTGCGAATTTGTCTGCGTGAATGTGTGTGTGTGTGCGTGTGCGTGCATGTGTGTTCTGTTTGTGTATTGCTGGTGTGTGTGTTTGTTTGTTGGTGTGTGTTTATGTGTGTGATTTTACGGAGTTGTTTAAATATTTACAGGTTTTTTACTCTTGTGAGTTTTTTATATTCACAGTCTGAGTATAAGTTTGAAGGTAAATTAGGTGCTCCCATATTCTTTTATTATATATATATATAAATATATATATATATATATATATGTGTGTGTGTGTGTGTGTGTGTGTGTGTGTGTGTGACGTGTTTGTGTGTGAAAATTATATATTGTTATGTACGAAGACAGTTTTTAAGTACTTTTTCAGATACTTTAGTGCAAAACACATGTTTGTGTATTTGTCTGCGTACGTATATTTATATCAACGTGTATGTGTGTATGTATGTATGTGTGTGTGTTGTGTGTGTTGGTGTATAAGTGTGCGGGAGTTTGTAAATGTTTTTTTGAATATTCTTTGCAAGGAGAAAATATTTCAAAGGAACGACCGTGATGTGACGTTATTATTTGGATGAGGAGATCCAATGCATTGTTTGCTTCGAAGACTTTTAACTTAATTACTAGGTCATTGCAATTCTCGTCGTCATCGTCGTCGTCATCATCTTAGTTATCGCCATGATCTTAGTCATATTTGTCGTTTTCTTCGTCATCATCATCGTCATCATCAATTATATCACCAATTTCCACCTTGTTAAATATTTTCATTAAGTTCACGCATATAATTATACAAAATGATACATATAATTATATTTAGTAACATTAAAACAAATATGTGACGAAGATGTGACGTAATACTACGAGCTGGAAATAAGGAACGATCCATTATATTGAACACAGTTTCGATTTGCTACACTATTTGTTGTCATCATCATCTTCTTCATCGTCGTCATCATCATCATCTTCGTCATCATCATCATCATCTTCGTCATCATCATCATCATCTTCGTCATCATCATCTTTTTCTTCGTCATCATCATTTTCTTTTTTGTCATTATCATTCCTCATTATCATCACCACCGTCATCATCGTGATAATGATGATCATCAACTTCATCGTCATCGTCAGCATCATAACATAATCCTGTATTTTTTTATTTTTTAACAGCCACTTTTTATCCAATTATACAGTTTTAGATAAAAGTTATCATCAACATCATCATGCAGTTGGATGAAAGTTATCATCAACATCATCATGCAGTTGGATGAAAGTTATCATCAACATCATCATAATCAGCACCAGCATCAGCATCAATGTCATAACCATCCTTGAGGTAATTTAGAGAAAACTGCTATCATTTTTATCACCAGCATCATCATAATCATTGTCAGAAGCACAAACGCCATTTTTTAGCAAAACAGTTGCCGTAAAAAAGTGCAATCTCATCTCCGTCTTTAATATTTCAGTCGCAACCTCTCTATTTCGACATCTTCATCATCATCATCGTCGCCACGATTGCAATCATTATCATCACAATCCCCTTCGCCATCATCATCATCATCATCATCATCATCATCACCAAGACCACCTACTCCGGCACCATTACCATCAACAAGCAAGCCAGCAGTGCAGTACGATATAAGCTTCTAATGGGAAAACCCCAATACGTCATCATTACGTCACCATGGCTACATAACACGTGACTCGATTACGACGATGACGCCACTTTGAAAGTGCAAATTTTTATGCATTATACGCGTGCATGTTTGAATATGAATACAAGTATAACTATTAACTAATATAAATGTATATAATTTATATCTAAGCACACGCACACACACACACGCACGCACGCACACACATATACATGTATATATATGTATATACATATATGTATATGTTATACTCTTTGTAGATGTTTCATGCATGTTTAGGGATGTGTGAGGGTTTGTTCAATTTTATTCATTACCACTATTGTTGCTGATTGTATGTCTTTTTTATGTTTGTTGATGTTGTTGTTGCTGTGGTTGGTGTTGATGTTAGTGAAAAGTTTTTAAATCTATTAGTGCTTAGCACATAAATGCACCGACATACACACACGCACACGCACACAAAAACACACAAAATTACACGTAGACACATACACACAAACATATATATAATATACATATACATAAATATATATATATATATATAAAATCAGTGTATATAGGTTTTCAAACCTAAACAAATATGATCAACACAAGTGCACGTGCCTATGGGTGTATGTGTGTGTTTGTGTGTGTATGTAAGTTTGTGTGAATGTGTGTGAGCGTGTGTGCATAAATTAGATTGTCAATGCAGCGAATCATCAATCAACTATTCTTGGTAGGAGAAGTGCAGCTAATTAGTTGTTGTGTTAATGGATGGATGGATGGTTGGCTGCATGGTTGAATGAATGAATGGATAGATGGGTGGATGGACGGTAATATGAATAGATTGAAAGATGGTTAGATGATTGGGTGAATGATTAGATGGGTGGATAAATGGGGAAATGAATGGATGGATGAATGAAGCGGTAGATAAAAAATAGGCGGATGAATGGATGTACAATTGATTTTTAGAAGGGTGGACAGAAGATGAATGAACGAATTGAAAATGGCTTATTTTATTTTTTATTTAACTTTAATTTTATTATCATATTTTAGTTTTTTTTATAATTTTGTGCTAATTACATTTATTCATAATATAATAATTCTTTCCTATATATATTTTAAAATTATTCATCTTGGAATCCGTAATGCATTGAGTGATGAATCTTAATAATGCAATAAACATTCAATCATACAACCAGCCAATCCAATACACAATCAATCACACGACAAACCAGTTTAATAAACAATCAATCGACCAACCGACCAATCAATCATTTCATTTTTTTTTTACTTTCCTGGCCAATCACTAATTCTTTCACCACTCATTTATTTTTTATAAACTCGCTCCATCAATCATCTACTCAGCACATTCTAATATTTTATTGGCCGTTTCCACTGAAGACAAAAAAAAACGAAAAAACAAAAAAACTAAAAAAACCAGAAGTGAATTCAGTTAAGAGTGGATTTTATTTGTTTTTGAAAAAAAAAATTGTTTTTAAAAAATAATTAAATCGGTTTTAGCATATAATTACAATCTGTGTTTCTGTTTATATTTGTTTTTCTTCTGTTATGTTTTGTTTGTTTTGTTTGTTTATTACTTAATTAGTTAGTTTGTTATTTTGGTTGTTTGTTTGTTAGTTAGTTAGTTTGTTTGTTTGTTTGTTTGTTTGTTTGTTTGTTTGTTTGTTTGTTTGTTAGTTAGTTTGTTTGTTTGGTTGGTTGTTTGTTTGGTTGGTTGGTTGCCTGTCTTTGGCTTATATGAACAATATATAAACCAATCAATTAATTATCCAATTAACCAGTCAGTCAAACAACCGACTAAACAAATAAATAATCAACCAACCAACCAGCCAGCCAGCCAGCCAATTAACCAACCAACCAACCAACCAGCCAACCAACCAGCCAACCAGCCAACCAACCAAACAGCCAACCAACCATTCAACCAACCAACCAGCCAGCCAACCAACCAGCCAACCAATTAACCAACCAACCATCCAGCCAACCAACAAACCCTGTAATATAAGATAGTACTCGAGCATTTTGGACTTGTTCCTCCACTCTTTTTCATCATAGTGTGGGCAAATGAAGTCAAGCTCGTCATACTCATCCACTTCCATGGTCTGGTCATTCTTGTTACTGTTGAATCTGCAATAAATATCACATCATATTGTTTCAACATTACGTCACTACAAACGCATCACACAGTTTCACAGTTACATTCCACTGTTTTAAGCCATTTATTTTCAAGTTTGTTCAATGTTATATTTTAATCCACAAGATTAACACATCAAAATGTTCAAAGTTTGGTATAGTTCGTTCAATATCTTCACTGCTACTCACAATGAAACGACCAAACATTATCCGTAGTTTATAATGTGTAGTGTATTTACTGATTCACGTTACTGGGAATCCTGGATATTTTTTTGATGGTGAGTGTTCACTGAGCTGTCGTTTCAAAGTTTTTCAGTAAAGCATGAATAAATTCGATTTTTCAAAAGATGTAAATACGCAAACTCAAACACACACAGACAGGCAAACACTTTCACGTACACACACACAAGCACAAACAAACACACACACACACACACACTCATACACTCGCACAAACACACATTTTGTTATTATTCTTAATATTACCATCATTATTATTAAAAGGTATTAAGTGCGTGTGCACCAGGAATGAATGGATGGATGCACTTTTAACGTAACATTCCTGTTTATAAAAAAATTTTATTTAAAAACATCTACACCTGCTTTCTCATTAAAAACCCTGGCGTCCATAAATATTTTAAAAGTTATTTTTATTTTTACATTTTCTCAATTTTATTTTTAAAATCTTTTCTTAGTATTAAATCATAATTATTGTGAACTCATTAGCGGGAGAATGGAAAATTTTGTAAGTTTTGTATGTGCTAGTCGAACACTGCTGCTATAGTTGGCTATGTGTCTGTTGTTGTTGTGGTTATTGCTGTAGTTGTTGTCGTTGTAGTTTTTTTGTAGTTTTTGTTGTTGTTGTTTTGTTAACGGAGGTCCTCCCCTTAAAATTCACCACTGGTTTTTATTTTTCGACTGCCAACCAATGAAATGTAAAACGTAATATATTGTAAAATCTCTAAAAATGTAATAAAAAGTAATGGAATTTGAAATGTAGTGAAACTTAAAATTCAAATAAATTCATAATACTTTGATAAAATGAGTATCCCATTGGTAAAAATTAATCCAAACAACTGTTTTTATTTACCGAATAAATCAGGGTTACCAAAATTTGTTAATTTTTACTCTACCGGGAAAAATTATACAACGAAACCCTGGCTATTTAAAATAATGCCCCATTTTTTAGGCCCACCAATCAATGTTCATCTCTAGAAAATACATCTACCACCATATTTGCAAGCGCAACCAGCTTCATTTTTATCGACGTCATCAACGTACAGTCGTTATCGTCCAATCACGTTCGAGATAAGTGTGACGCAATCAATCGTTCAACTTTGAACTGTGAACAACAAATAAACAAAGTGTAAATCTCAGTCATGTTGTTGTTATCGTTGTTTATTTTGTTGTCATTATTGTCCGAAATTGTAGGTTGTTTCTTGTTGTCGTTATTAGTTTAGACAATTATGTTGTCATTGTATGTGTAGTTGTTTTTGTTGTTGTGTGAGTGTTTAGTTCGATGTTTTTGATGCCGTGTTGATTGTGTTGCTGTGTATCATGTGGTTGTTGTTGTTGTTGTTGTTAGTATTTTTAGTGTTGTATTTTATTGATGTCGTCGTTGCTGACGTGTTGTTGTTTCTAAAACTGTTGATGTATTTTGTAATCAATTTTATACATAAATTAATAAAGTGCATATAATTTTATTATTGAGACCGGCTTTTAATATTATGATTTGAATGAACAAATAAATACTCTTTTGAAAATTTAAATAAATATTTATGCAATTATTTCCATAAAATAATTATAAAAAAATTTTATTTTCGATCCAATTTAAATTTTATTTTTAGAAGATTTCATGTGCTCGTGAGTGGAGGATAATCATTGTTTCCACTGCAGCTGTATGTTCCATTGTCTGTTGCAGCCGCCGGCTGACTGAGTTTTCCATTAAACAAAAACGTGCGTGTGTAAATCTGTTGTTGACGTTGTTGTTTTTGTTTTTGTTGTTGTTGTTGTTAATGATGTGATGTTGTTAATGCGATGTCGTGAATATTAATGTGACGCTAATGGGATAGTGTTTTCGTGTTGAAACTGTTGATGTGTTATTGATGTTGCTGTTTTTGGTGTTATTGAAGTTGTTTCTCTGCTAATAAGGTTTATGTTATTTTTATTGATGCTGTGTTGTATCACATTAATATTTGAAGCTATGTTGCATGTGATGTTGTTCGTTGTTGTAATGTTGTCGGGATGTTGATGTCATTGTTGAATTTGCTGATGTCTCGCATTTAATGTTGTTCTTTTGTTTGTAGTGATGAAAATATTGACTGGTAATGACAATGTTGGTGATGATGAAAAAAATTAAGGTGACGATATGGATAACCACGATGATGATGATGGTGACGACGAACAAAATGTTGATGACGATGATGATTGCGATCGTTTAGTGCTGATGGTGATGATGCTGCTGTCAAATATGGCGAGAGTTTTTGAAATATTTTTACGACCTTTACTGGCTAACACGTTTATTTTGATGGATTATATCGACGCCGCCTGTACTATTAATATTTTGTTACTGTTGTTGTTGCTGTTGATGCTTTTGTCTTTGCTAATGTTGTTGATGTGTT